CGCCCCCCCCCACCGTAAGTAATTTACCCACCTGTCAGTCTTCATTAACCCTAAATATCAAATTAGGTGCCGAACAGCGATGGACAACTTACTATTTAAAACACAATGAATAAAAAAAAGTTACATAATTTAAATATTAATGATAAAAAGGTATATTCATAGGCCATAGGTATACATTCACGTGGCTATGTATGTATGAGTTGATTATACGCTTGTGTATGGTGTGTGTGTTAATGGTAATAAATATGTGATGTAGTGAGTAGAGTGTGTCTGTGATTATATGTATGTATGTTGTGCTATGCATGTGTGTCGTGTTGTGTGCGCAAACAACTATGGTCCAATGAACAATAATCATAAAACAAAATGCAACAAGAACAACAACCAACAAAAAAAATTATAAACGAATGAAATAAGAACAGAGAACAGAAGGAGAGTGTGTTATATTATTCCGTTATTAAAAATTACTTCAATTAATTTATTTCTCTATGAAATTAAAATCGCATTTAGTAATATTCATAATTAAAATATCTTTATTTATTAACTAATTAAGTACCTGTCGACATTATTCTAAGTTTATCATTTTCTTACATATTACTCATTCGTTGTGTTTAATAAAATATTTTTAATTACATTCTATTAAATTTTATAATTGGAATACTAAAACCTACTTTTTTCTCTGTGTTATTTCGCAATCTATGTATAATATTCTTAACTTTGTTCTTTAAACTATTACTTATTAATTAACCATTTTTATATATTCTTAATTTGGATTTTCATGAGTGATGTGTATATATTTATTTAATTTGTTATTGATTTCTTGATCATTATGGATTATTAGATATAATATTTATCTGTCAATATTTGTCCATTATTAATCTTATTCTATTATATTTAATTACTTAAGATATAATCTATATCTAATTGTTATTATACCTATTAATATCTATGCTAATTTATTTATCTTATATTTCTTCATTTTATTAAGCAACAGATTATATTTAATAGATAATTTAATATTTTAGTGCGAGTGATACGCCGCAATAATTAATAATGATTATACGAGTTAATCAAGAATAAATTATTTGGATAGTTATTGGTCTTCTATAAAGAGCAATTCACTAGGTTAAAGTGTTAATTGTGATACAGTGTTCTATATATATTCGCTTTCTACTGTCGCTTAGTATTGCTTGTTCATTGTCATTTCAATTAATGCATACTTGCTTTCTACTTTTCTTTTATTATCTCCTCTTCCTGTCTGCTGTCTCTCTCTCTCTTTCTTTCTTTCTCTCTCTCTAGTGTGCTATATCTATATTATATCTTTTTTCTTTCCTTTTTTCTTAATAGGGATCTGCTCTCTCATTATCCTCAGCGCTTCTTTCTATATGCACAGTCTCTCATAACTCCATGAAACCTAACTGCCTTTGCTGCATATGCCCTGTGTTGTCTGTAGATACCTGCATCTCTACACCTTCACGTCCATTTCTCTCTGTTACTACATCTCTTGTTTCGGTGTTGCTTCCCCTCCTCTCTTCTCTCTCTTCTCTCTCTCTCTGCTCATAACATTTCTCGTTTCATATCTCGACGTCCTCTTTTCTTCCCTCTTTCAATGTTTTCTCCTCTCTAACTAATATCATGCGAGATGTTACTCTGCCCGCTCTCGACTCATTCTTTCCTCGTTGTTATATGTTTATTTCTCTCTCTTCCCCGTCCACTTAAGCTCTCGCAAATAGACTCCGGCTCAT